TGAGGTCATCAATCTATGACCTGATTGACAGGCTACACTCCACCCCTTCACTCTTCATAGTCTCAAGTTGGCACCAGATTGTGAAACACCACCCTGTGTTTCTTGTTTTCATTCCTCCTTTCCTAATCTTCTAGTGGCGTACTGTGCTACGCCAACTGCTAATTGCAAGGTCAGCAGTTCAAAACCACCAACTAACTGCTCCACCAAAGAAAGATGAGACTGCCTACTCCTGTCAACATCGACAATCTTGGAGACTCACAGGGGCAGTTCTACCCTGTCCTGTAGTGTTTCTGTGAGTTGGGATCTGCTTGTTGACTGTGAGATTTTATGTCTCTCCTAACCCTTCTGAACTTTTACCTTCATTAAATGTTGCCCTTTTGATGATTGGTCAGTTCTTCTAAGATATTCTAAGATGTGTGTACCTCCCTAGTGTTGTTGTTCCTTTTCTAAATTTATCATTCTGGTTAGAAATTGAGTCATGGGGTTGAGTTAATTTTCAAACCCGAAGGGTGACTAAAGGCCAAAGTCTCAGGTTGACAGAGGTGTCCTCTTAGATTGTAGATCCTGTTTTGCTGTCTATCGGCTAGGACTGCTCTCAGTTTCTGTAGGCTGCCTATATCCTTGATGCATGATCTGCCCCATCTTCAAAGCCAGCAACAGTACACTAATCCTCCTCCTGTATAATCTCTTTGAGTTCATTTTCTGCTTTCCTCTTCTGCTTGTAAGGGTTCATGTGGTTATAAATAATTCATAATAGTTTCCTCAGTTTTTAGGATCAGCGGATTCAAACCTTAATTATGTTTGCACTGTCCGTGTTTTGTCATGAGCACAGCGGAAGTCCTGGGGCCAAAACTCTGTCTACTGCACAGCTCCAATTACAATACAAATTATTGCTGCGGTGATAGCCTCTTTTGGAAAAATTAATACCAGACAATTCCCAAGAGGTTGGGGATTAATGATGCACCAAATGTCCAACTGATCCATGCTGCTATTCAGCTCCATCCTCCCCCCTCCCCACTCCTCCCTTGGGTATACTGCCTAACATTTCTGGGTTCTGCAGATTGCTGTAGTACCCCAGAAATTCATGAATGTTTGAGAAAAAGCCTCAGATGGTAGTGGGTGCTGTTCAGCCCACAATATGAAGGTAAGGCAGGGGTAAGCCTGATGCTGGGTCCAGACGACACACCTCCTTGCTTCTCACAGGGCTTATTGCAGGGATGGTATTGCAGGGAATCCTGTCCACAGTTACTCACAGGTAAATCCTATCAGTAGTTCCCCCACTTTCTTACCACACCCATGAAGGAAGCACTGCTGGAACCTGCCAGAAGCATAACAATTCATCAGCTGATAGTGGTCGTACATGAGGTGAGTTGGCCTGGAATGGAACACACATCTCCTCCCGGAGAACTCTACCATTGAATCACCACTGCCCCCTGCTCCCTTTCATGGACATGGAGATGAAAGCCAACAATAGTCTTTATTACAAGTTGTCTTATCTACAGGAGAGAACATGGAGGCTTTGAGAGCAACCAACCTTAAAACTCAGATTTCCCGATGCAGAATCTCCTGTGTTTTATACTTACAAGCATTTGATGATTCAGACTTAATCGAAGACCAAGCAAAAAGGCTCCAACAGTGGCTTCCATAGGCCCTTCATCACCCTTTGCTTTTGGATTTTAGCAGTGAAGTCCTCAGAGGCCTCAGTGTGCATGAGCACTACGTCTGTCCTTCTTTCCACAGGAGAAGCTCCTGATCAAACAGAAAGCTGTGGCCCTGCAGAGCCAGCTGGAGGAGAGCCAGAGAATCCTCTCCCGCCTGCAGATACAGAGGTCCAGGCTGCAGGCCGAGGTACCATTCTGCCCCTCGCTATTGGTGTGAGTGGTTGTGTGTGAGCGCGAAACAGGTTATGCTGGGATTCACGCATTTTTATCAATGTGTAGCATAGGCACAGAAAAGTTTACAAGCATTTATCTCACCGAATCACCACAGACTGCACACACCCATGTGCCCCACACTCAGCTAAAGAGACAGATCATTGTACATAGGTGACCAGTCATTCAGGTCTTCCCAGGACTAAGGGGCTTTCGGTGCTAACACCAGTAGAATCCTGAAAATGGAGGCAGCTAGGCATGCCAGTTCCCTGTGCCCTAGAAGTACTCTTTATTGCCATTCAATAATTACCCTTCCCCTCCCTTCTAAGGGTAATGCTGTCCTGACTTCTGACATAAGTGACTCATCTGTCAGAGTTCAACTCGTTTTTAAGAATAAGAGGAAAAAGATACTGCGATTTCTGTTTTTAAGTGATCCCCATAATGTAAAATCACTCATCTACTACCCTGTGTGTGGTAGTCCGGGTTGACTAGAGACACAAATCCAGGACACTGATACATGTAAAAGAAAGAGCTTTATATAAAAGAGCAATTGTATATTGAGAGGCATCCCAGCCCAGTCCAGATCAAGGCCATAAGTCCAATATTAGCCCATATGTCCAAAACTAGTTCATAAACTCCTCTTTAGACTCATACAGC